CTCACGCTGTTGGACGTGGCTACGGACAGAATCAATTAGTCTGAGTATAAGAAAAGGCTTTTATACGAAATAATTAATGAGCTTGCAACGAGCTCCATATGGATGTGTGTATGTGGCAGTGGTAAGGGCGAAATTGTATGGGAAATTCCGATCCTAAATTAGGCCCTTGGAAAAGGCAAGCGCTGTAAGAGAAACATGCTGATCGCGAAATATTTGTGATTCCGAAGAAGCATCATCCACACGGTCATTCAGTGAACGACGACATGAACGCAGGCCATGAACGGACCCTCCCGGGTGTCACGGCCAGAAGTGGAGTGCAACGTCTGTCGCTGTAGTAAAAACATCGGAGCAGTAATTCCAACTCATGATAAAGCTTTCGCAAAAGATACATTTGCTATTTCTGGAAAGGAGACCTGAATCGTTGAATTCGAATTATGTTTCTTGGAGCTGTTTATGTTGGTTGGAAGGAAGCCGAAAACTTCGGCGCTCGACTTGATCAACTATGCACGCTCATCAAAATATGTAAGAATTAATTTATGCTTCATATGCTTGGGTGAGCTTCGTTGCTGTACGATAGCTCCAGCGCCGATTTATCCGCGGCAAGAGCTTATAATTATCTGCGCGCATCCATTTGTCGTACTTGCACGGCGGTGTCGTTTGACCAACGCATCGAAGCACATGCGCTGCCGGTTCTTCAGCATACATGCATCTGCAGTTGCACTGTCGTTGCATGCAGCTCAGGAGGCTCAGGCATTTGTGTCGCGATTGCTATTGCCGCTTAATATTTTGACTGCGGGCAACCGACTTCATTCTGATGTAGAATGATCCCCGGAAGACCGCTTCGAAGGGGGACATTCCAGCTCGGTAATGGGCTGACATAGCCGCCTAGCATGCCTATCCATGCGCTTGTTGGCTGCCCTCAATTTCAGAAATTGCTCTTTAATAAGTAGATCGCACAAGGGGGAGGGTCGCTAAGGGGGAGGGTCGCTAAGAAGGCTGAAAGACTTCTTCGGCTTTCGTACGTCATCTCGTCTCGCGGGACAAACCCAATTACTGCTCAACCAGGATTAACCTAAAAGGAGGTCGCAACGTTCCAACGCACCAACGTTGTGCAGCTCCAAATCAGGCAACACAGCCTGCTGTGTATATCGTACATACGCTGCACGGCACACACCGCTAATGGTGGACTTGACGAGCATGCCACCAAAATTCCGCTCGCAGCGTGTCATGCATGTATTGCTGATTCCGGCTGGGCGCAGCGTGCACAGTGAAGACCAACCGCCTATAGCCCCGTTGCAGGCAAACCCATTAGTTACCGCGTTTTACTTTTTCAATGCGATTTTATCAGTGCGAAATACATGAATGGGGCTGTGTTACCCACATCCGGGAAAATGGCGCTTAGGTGTTCAATCGATACGGGACGGTATGTAAAAGGGTCGACATGTAAAGCGGCGCCTGTTAGCTTGGCTAGCTACGTATTTAACTCTCGGCGTCCTCTGCCCGCCGCACGGCCATTGGCGACTTTTGGTTCTGGAAGTTTGCCTGCTAGACCTGCTTCCCGGGGGACCCGTCTTTATGGTGGCTGGGCACCTCACGCCGCTTGCCTGCTTCTGGCCCGTCATCCTATGTTCAACCAGCCAACCCGTTTTGACAGCAACTGACTGCGGACATTGGTTTTTTCCCGCTAACCATCTTGGTGACAGTTAAATCGATGAATTTTCACGTTAGTGCCGTGTTCATGTGCTGTCTGTCGTGCAGGCTCTTTGTTCGGGTAGTTCCGTCCTTCATTGCTAATATCTCGCGCCAGCAGCGTGCTTCATACGCTGGAGAGCGTGTCGGTCTTCAGTGTTGGGCTTTACTGCTTACTGCTGATTACCGCTTAATCCCGTGCATATGCCCTGCCCTGCCCTGCCCTGCCCTGCCCTGCCCTGCCCTGCCCTGCCCTGCCCTGCCCTGCCCTGCCCTGCCCTGCCCTGCCCTGCCCTGCCCTGCCCTGCCCTGCCCTGCCCTGCCCTGCCCTGCCCTGCCCTGCCCTGCCCTGCCCTGCCCTGCCCTGCCCTGCCCTGCCCTGCCCTGCCCTGCCCTGCCCTGCCCTGCCCTGCCCTGCCCTGCCCTGCCCTGCCCTGCCCTGCCCTGCCCTGCCCTGCCCTGCCCTGCCCTGCCCTGCCCTGCCCTGCCCTGCC